GAAGGTTCTTGAATGCTCGAGTGTTTGCTAGATGCGCGGTATTCTTGTATTTAAGTGCGCCAGACAATGAATCGATATAGAATTGCAGACAGACAGAGACGAACAATTGAGTCAAACGCGGTAGTAAGTAAGTGCGTGAATCGTTCGTTGTGAATTATAGCGTGTGTTTAAGTTAAATTGATTGTGGAAATTAAATGTATTGCAAAGTTGTATTGAGAAAGAATAAACTAGTTTTACTTAAGAAAGGACTTGTATCGCTGAAGTTTCTCGGAAGGAATTTTTACGAGAAATTAACAAACGACCAGAGACGTAACAATATAATAGCAACTTCTGCTGATATCTTCTTCGAGATGGATCTCTAAACAGGACGATGAAGAATCTGGTTTGGTTTTGGACTGGAAGGCCACTATTGACAGAAATTCCCAGATTTTGTTCCACAATAAAACAGAAAACAATGTACAGTTCCATCCAACTATTCAGCAAATACAAAGAGAGTCGAATGCAGGCTATGGTTATCGCTACTCTGTCCATTCTGTCTTCAGAAATCTAAGTGAGTACAGGCTAAGTTTGTATCCAAATGTATGATAATTAGCCCAACTTGTATATGACTTAATGGTGCTTGATATCTGCATACAGGCAAAGATGGACAGGAATGGGGCTGGTTTTTTCAGACCGAAATGCTTTTAATTTTTTGACATATCAGCCACTCTGAGTAAAACTACAACTCTAGGTAATTGATACGCCTTTGGTCTAGTGAGTGGTGATCAATTAGAAACGAGTGGAGAGTCATTTTTTCAATTGCACCTTGATGCCGTTATTCGCAAATTGAAGGTGGTTGTCTTTAATCTTGATTGAAATATTAGGAGCTTAGCAATAAGCTTACTGCAGATGTGTGAAAAACAATTCAATCACTAAAAAGAACCCCCCCCCCCTTTAGTGGCACAGTGGTATATCTGCGGACTTACAACGCTAGAAACCGGGTTTCGATACCGTAATGGGCAGAGCACAGATAGCCATTGTGTAGCTTTGTGCTTAGCTACAAACAAGCACTGAAAAGAAATGTAAGAAAATATATATAATTTAGTATAAAATAGGTTTAAGACTTATTAAATATATTAATTGAAACCTTCTGATTAACAGTTTCAAAAAAATAATTTGCTTATAATTTTGTTATGGTAAAAACGTTTTATTATATGTTATTGATCGTAAAAACAGTGAAACTACATGTGGTGTTTTTGTAATGAAAACAAAGATAAAAGTTTAAGTTTTGTATAATAAAGATTTTACTGGAAAACTTTAAAAGAAATGAAGTTTGTTTGTTATGGATTTCGCGCAAAGTTACACGAGGGTCATCTGCGCTAGCCGTCCCTAATTTAGCAGTGTAAAACTAGAGGGAAGGCAGCTAATCAGCACCCCCAACCGCCAACTCTTAGGCTACTCTTTTACCAACGAATAGTGGGATTGACCGCACATTATAACGCCCCCACGCCCACAGATTGCGAGTCGAACACCCTAACCACCTGTCCATGCCGGGCCAAAAAATGAAATAAGAAATAATAATCTATAATTGAAATTTACAACAAAGGCAAATATTCTTAATTGTTTCTCAAAAAAAAAGTTCACAAAAAATATTTTCGAATTTCCAAAGCTGAAAATTCACACAAATATCAAATATAAAATAAATCATTTTATTCAGAAACTAAAAAAATATGTTTAAACTTAATCTCAACTTTATGACAATTTTATCCAGTAATGGCTTTAAATGTAATAAAAAAGAACATACAATAAGTTTGTTTGTTTGTAATTAAGCACAAAGCTATACAATGGGCTATCTGTGCTCTGCCCATCACGGGTATCGAAACCCGGATTCTAGCGTTGTAAGTCCGCAGACATACGCTGTGCCACTGAGGGGGCTCATACAATAAGTATGTGAAATCGATACATTCGGCTGTTTTAGAACTGAGTGTATAACTGTCACGGAGACTATTGAATGTTGAAAGATGGAATCACACATTGACGAACCAAGTTAGATGATAATGAGAGTAAACCTAAAACTACTTTCATTACTCGAGATGGTTTGTACAAATTCTGTATCACGACATTTATCCTGTGTAATGCATTTGCTTATTTCAGTTGCTGATGGAGCTTACACTGAGAGAGTTGGATTGGGAGATATATGTGATCTACAGCATTGTAAATCATTCTGGAAATGATAAGGGAAAAGAGTATGCAAATAACATGCTATGGAAATGCCACCTCTTTACTGTGGAAAATTGAATTGCACCAAAGTGTAGTCAGGTGTTAATAACTGAAACTGTGATTGGTCATCATTCAATCAATCAGAAGGTCGTACATGAGTATGAAGCCTAAAAAATGTAAAGGAAGTCATAGTATACCTAGTAGTAATAATGTGTTTCCGGTTATTCTTCCAAAACAAGTTTGTAGAAATTAATTTTCTAGCTAGTCAAGAATACTTAATGCAAAAACTTTGTCAAGACTCCATGTTTCAGTTGAAGCTGTGTACAATACTCTGGATAGGCCTAAGTAAAATTGCACTGTTAGTAATACTAATAGAAAATGGTTAAAGTAGAAAGTTCAAACTCTTCAAAAACCGATGTTATGTATTTAGGGCATGTTGATTATTAGATACTCAATGGTCAAGTACAAATCTTGTGAATTACTTTGCTGCAAATCCAGGTGTAAATGTTACCTCAAGAAGAGTAAGATACACATTAGCAAACGGCTGTGTCAATAGACGGGAAACTATTTGTAAACCTCTTCTGAAAAAAGGTGATCAAACCAAAAGTTGAAACGAGAATTGTGCCACAAATGGTGGAATGAGTAAAGCTGGAGATGTATACTCTTTATATGTAAATTGAAGTTTGAGTTGACCAGCAACAATCAGTTCGTTTAATTAACAGTGGAGAAGAGAAGGATGTCATGGATAATGTACAACATTTACAATAAAGCATTGTGGTGGTTCAATGTAAATTTGTGTCAACATTTCAGTCAACGATGTCAATTTCTACACATAATTGTTGCCACTCTGACTGCTAAAAAGTACAAACAAATTTTGATTCCTTAAA